TATAATACCCAAGATACCTCACCATAAGATGTTAAAATATTGATAATTTATGATACATATGATTTTATTTAAATAAATATTTCACATTATGCACTCAAGGTCAAGATGCCTCCGATTTAGATAAATTATCAATAAATGAAAATCCATCAAATTAAAAAATATAGCCTAGCCATATCATCAGAGAGTTAATATTTAGATTTTCACAATATCAATGTTTAAATTATCAAATATATTTTCTTACAATAAAGATCTTATTGAAGAATGGATCTATGTCATGAAAAGATGCAGATTTAATTAGAACTCTGGAGAACATTTACCAAGGAGTGCTTTGTGCCTTCCATTATTAAAAATTTTTACAGGAAGGATTCAATCCCACAATCTTTTAAATATTTGTTATACAATTATATATCTTTTAATTAGGTAATTTTTATGTATAAATAAATATTTGCATTTATATGATCACTAGCTGATCGATCAAGTTTTACAAAGAATTAGAATTTTCTCCTTAATTTGATGATGGATGTTATGAATTATTACTTTTATAAAATATTATAGGTCTGTAATTTTGCAACTTGGTATATCAATGGAATTGTTATCATGGAAGCAAATTTTGGTTTTGTTATTAAATACATCTCAATTGCTTTTAGTGTAGCTGATATTTTTAAAATTTTGTCATTTATTACCATATTAGATATAATATATGATATTCCATGTTATGCATTCAACTTCCAACTGAATGCCTCCCTTATCTTTGGCCTTTCTACATGCATTCCATAGTTTTATATATTTTCTCATCACTTCATAATTGTTGAATGTATATTATTCATATAACTTATCATAACATTTTTAATTAAATGTAAAACCTTTTTGCTTTACTTATACATAATTTGACTATGATTGAACTTAACCTCCTATTATTTGTTAATTTAAAATATCTTTTTATTTTTTCTATATATAAAAATGTCTCAAATTTAATTTTATATTTCATACCTAAGTAATAAATCATTAGGGGGTTTGTTAATTAAAATAAGGATGATTGATTTTTATAAATGCCAAAAATAAACGCACATATTAGACAGATTTAATTCTTATAAACCCTTTACATCGGACCTATTTTTCTGGATCAAAGGAAAAAATAAATTATTATAGGTTTTTCTGGGCTTGGGAAATATTTTTCACAATTAATATGGGCTTGGACCTGGCTTGGGAAAAATTTTTCAAAATTATTAAGGACTTAGATGCTTGAAATTTTTTTAATTTTAAACATGGGCTAGACATTGGTCTGAAATTTTTTTTTGAAGACATGGCCAGGCCTGATCAAAAAACCAAGGCCCATACAACTTTCATGTTCTGATTGTACTTTTAAATGCATTATGACTTTTTATATATTTTATTTCAGTTATCAACTACCAAAATTATGGTCTTTGGCGGGTTTGTGAAAATTTTTCCAAGTGCGTGGACCTAGCATGGGAATTTTTTTAATATTAGATATTAGGTATGGATGTAATATTTAATACATAATATTTATATGGCTCCTAGGTAAAAGATAATTTAAATATTATTTTACTTAAAAAATAGTATTCACTCTTAGTCTTGATAGATTGGCCTTGGTCTGAAGTAAGGGTGAGCGGAAGAAAAAACAATAGATGTGGCTTTAAGAGATTTTCATATTTCCAGGCTTGGGAAAAATTTTGAAAACTATTGGTTGGCTAGGTTTGAAAATTTTTTATAAAATTATTATGAGTTGGGCTGGGCTTGTAAAATATTTTTATAAATTATAATGGGCTGGGCTTGTAAAATATTTTTATAAATTATAATGGGCTGGGCTTGGTGAAAATTGTTCAAAATTATCATCAGTTTGGACGCTTAGAAATATTTTTTTATTAACTATGGGTCAGACATAGGCCTAAAGCAAATATTTTTGCAGGCCTGGACTCGGTCTGATCAAAAACCAAGGCCCATGAAAATCTGATTTTGATTGCATTTTTAAATTAATTATGATTTTTTAAATATTTTATTTCAGTTCTCAACTACCAAAATTATTATGATCTTTCATTGGGCTTGGGAAGAATTTTTTAAAAATTATTATGGCTTTGTACCTTCCTTGGGAATTTTAATATTAAATATTAAGCATAGGTGATCAGTAATATTTAACTAAATATTGATATTATCAAGTAAAAGCTACACTTAGTTTTAATGGATTGAACCTGGCCTGAAGGGGGAAGGATAAAAAGAATAAAAATTGGATATTATTTTTAAATAACAAGTAACAATCATAAAAGTAAGGAGAAAATTCTCATTCTCCGTCATTTTTGACGGTTTATCTTATATTTATAAAAATAATATCGTAAAAATATTTTAGTGGTCGAAATATTTCATGTAATTTAAAAAATAATTCTAAACAATATAAATGTTGAGATAGTTTCTTTAAAAAGATCAGGGGCGGACTGGCCATAAAACCAAGTGGACATTTTGCCCACGAGGCCGCGAGAAAATGCCACATTTTGGCCGATTAGAAGATAAAAAATGGTAAAAAATATATAATAGATATTTATTTTTTTTTAATATAAAAAGTTATTACTTTTCTCTTATCATATTCATGTATTTTATATATTAAGACACCTTTAATTGTATTTCGTTTTTCACCATGTAGAATATCATATCAACACATCTTGAGGTATGTATGAGGCATAACGTTTAGATATTTAATTTATGGTTTTTTTTATCAAAATAAAATGCGTTTTTTAAATGAAAGTTTTAATATTTGATTAATTTATTCTAGCTTTTATTTTATAATTCATTATAAAAATAAATTGGTTTTAAATTAATAAATGAAAAGAATTGACAGATTAAGCAATAATACCCATATAACAAAACAAATATTTTAGATAATACATTTTTTTAGGTAAACAAAACTTATCCTACATAGGATTAGACCACAGTGAAAGCAATTTTGAAAAATGAAATTAAATCATGGAAATTTTTGTGGGATTATTTGGATTTATATCAAAAAATGATAAAAACACTCAAAGTCCAAGATATAATTAATGATAAATCGTTTGAGGCCAATACATTATATCCTTTATTGAGTATTTGCTCAAATTTAGAATGTTTAGACTCCAACTCTTTGGATAATTTTGAAATAAGTGGGCAGATTTTATTATGTCCATTTAGATTTCTAATCAGTTTGCAAAATACGATGCTAATTCTTCTATATCGATCATTCCCTTCACATTCATTCAAAATATCGCTATGGATCAGATTCCTGATAGCTTCCCGATAGCATCTGTGTGCAAAATCAAATGCTAAAAAATGGAATAAGTAAAACAAGAAAGATGTATAGTGATAAATACAAACAGAACACCGGCAAATCCGTATACTGCTGAAGTATATTGCTCTATAATTGATTAAATTATAATTTGTTTCAACAGTTTTGGCGAACAAAGATTTATAAATAGTGTGCAATCTTTGTGTAGAAGCATAAATGTTAAAGGTATTTATGAAATGAAGAAATTTTCGCAATTGAAAGATGTATTTAGTAAAAAAAATTACATCTTTATTTGTCTTCCTTTGCCCATATTCACAAAGATTTTATATTGGATTAAATGAAAATATTAGCAATTATGTTAAAAAAAATTTAGAGATAGTAATCATGAATACGAACTCTCTATCTTTTGAGGGACCTGTGATGACTTTTTGCATTAAAAATGTTGATGGGGAAAGTGTGGGTTGTGTATTTGCCAACATCCTTGTATGGTAAACCGTGGTTAAGCAAGGATTTATCATTGGAGGCCTCCTCCAAACTCCCATATGTCCGGGTGTCCTGCATATTGATACATTGAAATTTCCCTTGGTAAAATATATAATGTATTTATCATCTTCATTATACTTGGCTGCAGAAGGGTGGTGGGGGGTTATTAAAAAATTTTGAAGCTCCACCCCTCCAAAATTAATTTTCTCGATTAGGTGTTTTTAATTTCTCGGTTATTTTTATTTTGCTTTTTATATTATGGAAAATCTTTATATTAACTCCGTTAAAATTAGCTAATTGAAAGCACTAATTCTAAAATCTATGCCAAGTCTCGTGCTTTTTTCCAAGTTCGAAAGACAAGCCCTGGGTTTCAAATGGAAAAATAATTGCCCTTTAAATTGTGGATAGCAAGGTAGACATTTTTTGAATCTCCTTCAAAGACCAGGAGATCAAATTACATTTTATCTCGTAATTACTTCCTAGACTTAGGATTTGTCATATTTGTGATTATTTCATTTTTATAGACATTATTTTAAATAACTTATTTTTTTCTTACCTAAATGGTTATTATATTTATATATAGTCTCACCTGTGCTGTGAAGGATTAATTAAACCGATGAAATTCATTTTAATAAGAAATATGGGTTCAGAATTTCTTTATATAACTTCTTATATTCACTTGGTAATTTTCTCGTAATCAATTTTAAGTATGCATTTTTACCCTGATTATTTCCCTTTTGAAGGTTAAAGATATCACCTAAAAAGATAACTTGAAAAGAATAGTTAACATTGTCGCTTAAATCAATAGTGGGCCACCGTTTAAACAAACCAAGTAATGGCGTCTAAAAATGTGCAATCAACCTACTAAATAACACGATGTTTAGAAACAATACAGAAAATTTTGTTCCATTTTCTACCTGAATTTATTCACCCATTTTTTTCACAAAATATAAATGAATATATTAATTCTTGAACATTTTTATTTCTATATTTTGACTATTCAAAATTATTTATCTAATATAATCTTGTATTTTAAATACACCTTTTTTTATTGAAAAAGAATATAGTATTTATTTCTTTAAAAAAAATTTTTTTACTAAAATATCTAGGCTCTTAGATAAAAAAAAATTTCTCAACCCTAGAGAAGAGCACCTTAAAATAGTATATATTTTTAAGTTTTAAAAATCTAAATGAAACTTTATTAAATTTTTTTATAATATCTCTATATATAATTGAAAAAAAAATTTTTTTTTTTGGTCATAATTGTTATATAATTTTAAAAGTATATATAATATAATATATATAATATCTTTATCTTAAAAATATTACAATATTTTTGATTTAATTGGATAAATGTACAATATAAATTTACATGAACCCTGAATTATTGTGTTTAAGTAATATAATGGTATTTACGATGGTAAGCTAAAAGCGAGAGAATATTAATATTTTAAAAATACTAATAAATTGTTATAACTAGATTGGTCTTAAATTTTGGGCTAAAAAAATGTAGGTGCCTCGACAAGCTTATATATTGAGAAAAAATTAAGGGCCAAAATAAAAAATATGTTTTTATCCCCAAATTATCTTACAATACTTTAAAAAAAATTAATAATGTAACGTGACTATAAGGTTTTAATTCGCAAAACAGGTATACACGAATATAATTCACATAAAAAATATATAATGACTACTTATAACAAATATTATAATTTAAATAAATAACATGTAAAGTTTTGCACTGATTTGGAATTTTTAAAAAAAATTTAATATGGCAACTGAGATTCCTATAAATTAATAACTAGTGTAGGCCAAAACGCTTTATATTTAATCACTGGATAGGATATATATAAATATTTCATCGGAACGACATTTATTTATAAGCTTATAGCTTGTAACTTTCACATTTTTTTTAGTAATCAATATGTTGTGAAACTAAAACCGTGTTCTACACACCGGGCAGTCCAACTTCTTATATAGCCATTTGCGTAAACAATCCACGTGATAGGCATGCCCGCAAGAAGTAGTCAACACTTTAACATATGACGAATGGCCCAATTTGCCTCGGCATACGGGACAGAGTTCCACTGGATCATATAGACCGGTTTTAGAAATCAGCCCGTCTAAAATATCAGGAGCCCGCCAACGTCGAACGAGTGTCGAAAGGCCTCGCTCACCCTTTAACCAGCAGTTAAAGTAGAAATTGAGGAGGGTGGTAGCCGCTCTGACACATGAACTCCCTCCTGAATCGATTTCAAAAATCAGGATCCAGAGAGAATTGAGGGTGAGTACAAGGGCACAACATGTTTCAAGACAGTCTCCGAACGCTGTGGCGTACCAAATGTACGTTTCCGTGGAGCAGGAAAGATCGTTCGAAGCTACGTCCGAGGAATCGGAAGGGTCAGAGGATGTGGGAATGGAAGAGGGGACAGGATATGGGTTACGATTTAATTCGAGATATGGTTTCTGTTTGTCGAGATTTGTAGAATTTATAAAATCCAAGGGAGTAAGGAATCCCCGAGAAGGTTCCGAATCCTGAACACTGATCAAAGGAACTTTAGCGAAAGATGTATGATCTAGCATTTTAAAATTGCTCAACTCAAAGTAAGGGGTTGTTTTGGTCGTTCGCTTAAAATTCGATGACTCCTTACTACTTCTCCGGGCAGTGTAATCAGAGTCCTCCTCTGTTTCTGTAGAGAGTGGTCTACTTAAGGCACCTCTGTTGATTGTAAAGAGTATAAGAGTCAGGATGGTTTTGACGCATAGTTCCAGGCAAAGCACCGTAACGGACACTAGCCAAGTGTTCAAGACTTTAGATGTAGGAGGGAAATAAAAAATAAGAGAGGAATCGTCCAAGGTAGGTATCTCTCGGTTCTGTTGTCTTAATATAGAGTGATGCGTTCGCAAAAAATGGCACGCTATCCAAGCTGGGATGGCAAAAAGTAGGGTGAGCATCGTGAATAAGGTGGCAAAAGGTGGTAATAATGGTGAGCTAAAAAGGGTTAAAGGTTTACTCGCCCATTTTAAAAATGAAAAAGGAGTGGAATTAACCTTAAAGCCAAGAATAGCGATACCCAAAGATATTAAGGGTGCCGATATGTATTTACAAATTCTCTCAAAAAAATGAGAGGGTGCCATAGGAGGAAACCCGAGCGATAGGGTGGCGAGTCGAGTAGCCAACATATCCTGAACGTGATGTAAACAGGCTAGGACTACCAAAACAGCGTTACGAATCAAGCGATCTAGTTTGACATGGTCTGGAAGGGATGCCGAGGTGAGACCAGTTTGAGCAGCCGTGACCAAAAAAACTAGTGCAGCCGTTCGGGCTAAGTTGGTGGATGATAATTGATCATCGGCTAAAATATCACGCTCGATAGGGATTACTTTGCAACGATCCGGGATTTGGTTGAAAAAGCTATCGTGGTAGTTATTTACAAATCTATCATCTATGATTTCGATAGATGGATGTTTTGGAGAGGGGGGAGATGGATAGAACGTAGTACTAAAACTACTACTTTTTTGGAGGGATAGGTCGGAAGGGTAAATATTATGACTAGGCAGTTGACTATCTATTTGGGTGCATCGGCACTCACCTTTCTGATCAATTTGGTTTACATTTATCATATCGTGGCTGAGGTTAAATTTATTTTCGAATTTGTCATCAATGCTAGTATTAGGAAAGTTATCAATGATCATTTTATTGGAAAAGCAGGTATTCTTGTAATCGATAGAAGAAATGAGGTAGTCTTCCGTACAAAGTTTTCCGCCGCAATCGCCCATAACATCTTTATTTATAGTATCATCTATTTTTGTGTAATAAAATTTACCGTTATCCTCCTCAACAACCGCTTGAATATATCCATCCGCGTCGTCTTTCACTCTTTCCTTACAATTATATTCATTTTTATTATCAGGACCCTTGATATTAAAAGACAAATACGCGATTTTCAAAGCGATCCCTACACCTTCTACAATGTAATGAAGTATGGCGGCAGAACTGGCAACGGCTAAAAATGAATCGCAGCAAGATCTTAGTAACCATGTTCTTATAAGACCGAAGCTTAGAGGATCAGGGCCGTGCATCCAAAAAAGAATGGTGATCGTGCGAAAGATCCAATACGTCCCAAGCAAGGCTCGAACTCTCAACCTCATCCATTCGGTTTCGATAAAGGGAGCTGGGCCGGTTAGATGGGACAGGGCCCTGGCTTCTGACAGGTAAGCGAGGGCATAGTCGACAGCAGGAGGCAGTAGACCGAGGCACAGGGTGTTGGCCGAACGGAAAATGGTGCGCATCAGGTGGTAAGTCGAAGCCAATGAGTAAAGGAAAGGCAAAGGAACGCCGAAAATTATGGCTAGTGAGGGCAGGAGAACGAGAAACGCCGGGTTGGATGCTAGAAAGAAAAAACAAAAGAGGGGAAATCGGGAGAATAGATGCAATATGGAGGATGATTTTCTGAGGCAGGAAGAAGGCATCAGCAAAGAAGGAATAAGAGAAGGAGACGGATTGTAAATAGTGCGATCGATACTAGAAGCCATTGAATGAGCTAGTAAGAAGTCCATCATCAATGAGAGAGCTAAAGATATGCTTACTGATAAAATAATATCATATATGAAACTGAATGTGATATATAATACACCATTATATTTTATAATAATTAATAATCAGGATGTATTTTAAATCAATAATTTTATTTAAAGAAAATAAAAAAATCCGGTTTTTAAATTTAAATCAGACTTTTTATTATGATTGAATATTATCTTACAACCAATGATTATTAATAAAAATATACCATATAACAATATATTTATGGATCTTTTATGATTAAATATTTGATACGAGTAAAAGTTTAAATTTTAATATTAAAAAGTGATTTTTTATAAGAGTTTATATACTAAAAAAATCCAATTTTAATAAAATTTAACAATTAATCACAAACTTATGCAAAATATAATAAAATCAAAAAAAATCATAATGATTCAAATCACAAGCAGAAAGAGAAAATTGATTTAAATTAAGTAATTTTTATTCGAAAAAATTATTACCATTTATCATTATTTACAGGGTTTCCCATTCAAAAAAGGAAAAGTGTCAATCATAAAAGGAAAAATCTCGATCAAAAAAAGGAAAAGTGTCAATCAAAGAAGAAAAAGGCCCAATCAAAAAGGAAATTCCCAAAAGGAAAGGAAAAGTGTCACTCAAAAAAGGAAAATCGTTATTTATTTAAATATTCTAAAAAAAAATTTATAATTTTATTTTGCCTTTTTAAAAATAATTTATTTATTTTCCCTGTAATTTTTCTTCACTTCTTTATTTTTATGTTATTTTTAACATTTTTTTTCCTATTATGATCCTACAACAATTTTTTGATTTATTATATTTTCTCCTTATATTTTTGTTTTTTAAATTTCACTTTTTTATTTCTCTTTGGCAATCAAATTTTTTTATTAATATTTTTGGCTCTAATAATTGCCGTGTTAAAAAAGGAAAGTATTATGAATATAGCATCATGTTTAAAATAATCTATAAAAATGTGACAAATATAAAATACTCCCGTCTCAAAAAATGGAATTAAATATAATGTATCCAATGGAGGCTCGAATGCAAGAAATTATATCAGAAACAGGATTGCAGGGATCCAAACTAAAACGAATATCGGTTCGGTTCAGATAAAAATAACGGTTCAAGATTCAGGTTCGGTTCGCAAAAAATAAAAATATAGGTTCGGTTCGAACCTCTAAAAACCGATTTGAACACTTTTGTATTCATCAAACCTACATTAGGATTATGTATAAGGAAATTTTAACCTTCATTTTTATTAATTGCACATTTAAAAATAATATTTAATTTATAAATATAACAAATAAATATATCAATGATTAATTTTAATATGAACAATTACTTAAATTTTTGTTATTAAGCCGCACAATTAATATATTTTTAAAATTCGTCTCACCCAAATTACATCTATAAGGAAATAATATAAATTTAATTGTTGAAAAACATCTTTCCACACTTGTGTCATTTATAATATTATATGTAAATAATTTATATAATATGTAAATAATTTATATATTAGATTTAATTTTTTTCTAGATATTATAATTTATAAGCTTAAAATATTAAAAAATGTTGTAAAATGGCAATATACTAAAGTTTATAAAAATTATGACTGACGTTTATCAATCAAATGTGATTGATAATAATTTTTAAAACAATTTGAATATAATTAAAATTTTTGCAATAACTAACACATTATTTTATAAGCATAAAATTATGAGACTCGAACCGGTTCAGAGGCATTTTAGAGGTTCGGTTCAGGTTTGGTTTGGATCCCTGCAGGATTGTATAAATCTGAATTGAATTTTACCCTAAAAAAGTTATGTGAATGATTAAAAAGGTATGATGATGTAGAAATATCAAAAAATATGTTATCAAAGTTACTATCTGGATTTAGGTATATAGCTTCAAAAGGGTATCACTATGTTCAGTAAAGAAAATACAGAATCAAATATCGTGATTAGCAAAGAATAAGCAAATTGATTTGTGGATGTAGCCTACATGAAAGAAAAATTTATCGATATATCAATGAGACGGTTATATGATAACAAGGAACAAAGACAATGAATTATACTATCATTGTTGCTCTCACGCTTGCGGGAAAATTCAGATTGGAATTTCTTGATGGCGGTTGTAACGCTATACACTTTAGCCACGTTGTAAATGAAATATAAAATTATTTTGAAGAAAGTAATATAATGAATCTTAAATAATAGAATCGATAAAAAGGAGAGGGAATGCAATAAAATATTTACCAACATATAGCTTTTATCTTATTCCCATTGAAAATGTATTTTTTCAATAGATTTTGTCAGAAATTAAAATCCTAATAACGAGGAGGAATTAATTTGTTTCATAGAGTATGAAGTGAGGAATATTTGATGAGAATGCAAAGAATTATTTTGAAAATATGGAAACCTATATTCCAAAATTTAGAAGAGAAGAGAGAAAATTATTAATGATTAATATAATTTTTTGCTTCTTACTATATATATATATATATATATATACGTTGTAACGTAAAGATATAATTTGATATGCAAAAAGATATTAATAAAAATAAATTTGATTGCCAAAGAGAAATTAAGTGAAATTCAAAAAATAAAAATATAAGGAGAAAAAAAATCAAAAAATTGTTATATTGGGTGAAAAAAAAGGAGTAAAATTGTTAAAAATGACATAAAAATAAAGATGCGAAGAAAAATTTAAGGATAAAAATTAACATCAAAAATGAGAAGAAAAATAATTGAGAAAAGATAAGAAAAATAAAGATTAAAAATGACTTAAAGAGATTGCAAAAAGTTAGAAATGTAATATGTAGAAAAAATTAAAAATGTAAGATGTAGGGATGTAACCGACGATATTTCACCTATTATAAAATATCGGTTATCGGCCAATATTATAAAATTTGCCGATCCAATCCGATATAAAATGGCGTCCTTAACAAAAATAAAATGTTATAAATTTTTTAAAAAAGGTTATATCTAAAATCATTTATTTTTATAAATAAAATCGAAATCCATATTTTTTTAATAATAATAATTAATAAATAAAAATTCTGCCATATTGTTATTTTTTTGCGCATTCTATTTATAAAAGTGTGCGATAATTTATTCAGAATCTGTTTTTAGTGAAACTGGTGATATTGACAGTTACCATCGCCGCAGGCTGATTTCTGATAAATTAGAAATTTTGATATTTCTAAAAAGAAATCTTCGATATATTAATGTTAAATATTATTTTAAATATTTATTTAAATTTCTTAATATATTTGTTTATTACTTATTATTAGTGCTGTGAAGTAACGTCAAAAGGTAACGTCGTTACTAGACGTTACTTTTTTGAAGGAAAAGCGCTTTTTTTGAGTAACGGTAACGCAAAACGTTACTTTATATTTTTTCTTAAAAATATCAATAAAAAGAAAAACATATTTTATTGTATTACAAAACTACTTTTATTTATTTTTTAATTCTTAATATTAATAATTTAAGCCGAGTTTTAATTCATATCAACCACTTCCAACATTTTTTTTAAAATTCTCATTGTTAAATTATCAGTCGAAATTAATATTCTATCAAAATTCAAAGTAAATATAATGATATTATTAATTAACTTATAATTTATTTTAAAAGAATATTATGTCCATAGTACTTACTTCTTCAGATGAAGAAGATTTAACCCTTCCCTGGCCCCGATTTGAATTATATTATAAACCAATTAAGAAAATTAATGGTTACCAAGTTTACACTTTGTAAATGTAAATTATGTCCCAACGCAAATATTTCAACGTCAATGTCAAGTAGCTCAAACTTAAAAAAACATTTGAAGGTAAAGAATGAATTAATATATAATTATTTTAAGCATATAAAAACTTAAACATGAAATGATTTTAAAATAATTTATTTAAATTTCTTTATAGATTTTATTATTAAAATACTATATATATAGCATCTTATTATTTAACCATGTATTCGATAGCTACGGCTCTTTCAATTTTAGAGAGCGAAGAAAATATGCATTTGGGATATCTCACTCCCACTATAACCATTATAATATCAAAACTTAAAAAATTGGCTTATAATTTTAAGTTTTGTAAGCCGCTTATTGATTCAATCCTGGAAGCCATAGATGAAAGGTATACAGTTCAAATATTGCTTATAATTTATATTTTGACTATCATATAGATTCAAACACATCTATGATGATGAATATATACTATCGGCAATAATTCACCTATTATTTAAATTGGATTGGCCCTGGATAAAATTAGAGGTCAATAAAGGAAGAATACTGGGACTTATTTCCAGTTTGAGAAAAGATATTGTTAAAGAAAGACAGGCTTGGTTTCTTTATCCAACACACACACTAAAATATTTTCAAATTTCTTGATAGATCTCTGTGAAGATGATCTTTCAAGCTTTTTTTCAAAATAAAGATATTTCCTTAAATATTTTTAATAAATTCCCCGAATTGAATTTGTTAATTAAATATAACACCACTCTCCCATCTTCTGCGCCAATTGTACATGTGTTTACAACGGTGAAAGCTGTGTTGAGTACTAAGCGCTCATGTTTATCTGATCAAAATTTTGAAAATCAATTGTTAAAAATAAATAAAAAATTGTTACATAAAGATGTTATCTTATAATATATTATTTTTGAATTTTAATTATATTATAATTATATATGAAAATTTTATTATAAAAAGATCTTATCTAATATGTTCTTTTTGTATAATTTTATTTTATTATGTATTGTCGGAAAAAAATAAATATTTTTTTTATAACATTTAATTTTTTTAGGTAACGAGTAGCCCGTTACTTTTTTGGAAAGTCGGTAACGCGCGTTCTTTTTGTAAAATGGTAACGAGTAACGGTAACGCGTTCCATTTTTCAGATGTAACGAGTAACGGTAACGCGTTTCTTTTTCGTAGTAACGTTTACAACACTACTTATTATGTATATAAATTAATGTTCTTACTTATTATATAAAAGTGATTTATAATAAAAATATTTTATATACTTTTAGGCAA